CGTGGCAGAAAGAGTCCTGGTTATGTGCTTCCGTCACTTGCTAGTTTGGCAACATTGGACACATGCTAATGCTCAGCTTCCTCCTCATCGGATGGGGACATCAAAGGTACCATGGGTTCTTCGTAAGGAACAATAGAGTGAATTTTGTAACATGTCTATCACCCAATGCACAAAACACATTGCTTTCATTCTTATTGTTAGGTCCTGTTCAGTGGCCCCCAATTCACGCTGCCCTCGAACGCAGAAGAATGAAAAGCTTTCCCCGTCGTGCACCATGCCCTGCAGCAATCGCAGCCTATAATGCACAGGAATTTCATTGGCTGATTTTGGGAACTAGATCAACGGTCGTTCTTGTTAGTTTGTCTTTGTCTGGGAAGTTCCCCTGAAAAGTGTTCAGCATCACAAGGCCCTCATGATGGAAGGGTATGGTAGCACATGAGGTCCTCTGGTTGGAAATCAAACCTAGCTATCCCACAAGGAAGGGGATAAACATACCATCGGATCTTACTGCCTCTCCATTAGTCTTTATTAGTGTTATCTCAAATGCAATACAAGAGGACAAGTTATAAACACTGGGTTTCATTCAATTTCCCATGCGTGGTTAATTCACCATAAGACTATGTCAGGCCACAAAACGTCTGATGCTATAATCCCATATCTATTTTTGGTGGTGCATTGATCATTTTAGCATTCCCTAGATGTCTGAAAGTTTAGCCTAACCCTCACAAACTACCCCCTTCCCCCAGAAGGGAGTAATTTCCAGAAAGTATCTCTCCGTCACAGAAGCCAAGTGCATTTGTCTGTCTGTTTTACCCAAGCTAGTCATACAGCTATGTGACACCGTGAAAGTCAATTGTGGTTTTGATTTCCATTCTGCGAAAAGCACAAGTGTAATTTTACTTGTTCCTGATTCTGTTCCTTGCCATTAGCCTGGATGACCAAGAGTTAATTGCCTATAAATGTGAGAGAATGAGACCACAGTGGTTCTTGTAGAGCTAGGATAAGTGCCATGGAAATGAAAGGAAATAGTTCTAGTGTCATGGAACAGCAAAGGTCAGATAGCACCAGATGATGCCTCTCATCATTATTCACATAGTTTTGCATTTAGATAGCTCTTCTCCTTTGTTAGCCTCATTCTCATTCTGTCCCATTGCCTGGGATCAGAGCAAGGAGTGGAGTTCCTGATGACATCAGTGGTGATCCTAATGTGGAAAAGAAACGCAAGTGAGGAGGTGAGTGAGTAATTAACCTTTATGCTTTGTTTGCTCACTGTGGTCTTCTCTCTACAAACATCAAGCCAAAAAAAAGGCTTACTTTAAAATAATTTTCATAAAAACTTAGTCTCTCCTGGAACTTCTGCTTTATCTGGGTTTTAGTCTGAAAATGTATGTGTGACAATATTAAATTGCAACAGTGTGTGTATGTGGGCATATTTATGTTTGGAAAATTTGGATGTTTGTTGTCTAAGAATTACAATACTAAAAATGCTAACCTAAGTTTGCTTTTAAGTAGAACCTCAACTCAAAAGGTTAAAAAAACACACACAATGTCTGTTATTCTTAAAATGTACGAGTACATTTGATTCATCTGTATGCTAAAAAATATAGATTCTGAGTACCACACTGAGAGATTTAAAACTTGACCTATTTGGGGGGAAGCAATGGAGCCCACATTCTTAGTAACCTCCCTAAGTGATTTTGATGTTGATGGTCAGTGAATGCCATTGTAAATGGATGTTTTAAATTTTTGCAAGAAATTTACCATATGATAAATGCTTCCTTCTGCTATACTAGACACTTCCTGGCTCACTGACATGTTTTCTTTACCTTTGTAGATATTTTCTGTTGAAGAAACGTTTTCTGGTTGTTGTTTTTTTGGCCTTCTTATTCATCCAGAGCAGAGACATAGCTTGACCGAATTTCCCATGCCTGTTGACATTCATAAAGGCCAGTGCATCTCACTTCTCTGAGGCAGTGGCTACAATCAGCCTCTCTCAACACCTAGATCTTCCTCTCTCTTCTCCATCAAAGAAGCAATACAACTCTTCCAAGTTTAACGGTACCATTTTCTTGCTCGCTTTCATATTTTCTTTTTCCATCACATCCATTTCCCCCCATATCTCCAATCTATCTTTCTTTCTGTATGTATATATAGCCTCAGGCATCTCTAAGACAAGAAACCTTTTTCTCATTTCAGTTACTGACAGTATGTGCATCTCTTCCTTCGCCATCAAAGTTGCCGCAAAAGTGGTCTGCTTTTACAACTGTCATCTCCCTGTCCCTCATCCCTGCCTCACTCACGCCCAGCGCAGCTCTGCCTAGCGCTCTGCA